TGTATGAGTGTGTGTGCATGCACAAGGATGATGAAATTGTTATAAACACTCTAAACATACTACTAACTCTTTTATGTTCTCTCTGATAATAATAATTGTCAAAAAGTAATGGTTTGCTCTGTGTCATCTGTAACACACATTTTATATGCATTGTTTAATACTTAGAGCAAAAACGTGAGGCAGGAACTATTCTTACTCCCTTTTACTTTGAGAAATCTTAGTCTTAGAAATGTTAACATTTCTAAGGTCACAGAGCTAGTAAATAACAGAACAAGGCCTGCAATTCAAGAGCCTTTCTGATTGCAGAACCTAATAATAATGTATAGTGAGATGTAAGATGAAAATAATGTATGATAACAATGACATAGATCTATCATCGGAGGGGTCAGTAGGCAAATGAGCCATGGGACCTAAATGATAGCATCTGATTACAAAAGGCCTTAGACTTCAGGAATTCTGTTCCAACTCTTCCATGTTATTACTGAAAACCCTCAGGCTCTGAAAGGGGAAGTGACTGGCTCAAATACAAGCAAATATTTTTAAAAATTTTTATTCAGTTATATATGGTTAAGATTGAGGCTCAAATGTGTTCTGATGCCCTGAGCACACACCAACTGGGCTATGGAAGGAGTCACCCAAAATTTGAGTCAAAATATGCTCTAAGCAACATGTTGTCTCTTCAGAAATTCAAGCTTTTTTCTTTTAAGGGGATCGTGTTCTTGATGGCTTCCCTTGTCCTCTTGGGTTGGACTTGGGTGACTAAATGGCTGGCTTAGCAGTGGAGGGGGAAGAATCTGGGCTGGCACATAGGGACCAGGAGGGGGCTTACAGTTCTGAAAGAGGAGCTGGGAGGAAAACTGAAAGGGGACGTGTGACTGACTGTACAGTGAGTGAGGAGAGGGAGTCTGTCAGATGAGACTTGGGCAAATGTGTCCCTTGTTGTTGCCAGAAAGGCTACCTTTCTAGGAACTGTAAGAGCAGAACTAGCCACCAGCACTCACGGCTATGTCCTGGATGGCCAGTACTGGAGAGCAAAAGGAATATTCTGCTTGTAGTCTTAGGAACGTTTTAGTAGAAGAAAAACAGACAAGGTGTTTAGAGAGACCTTGGTTCTAGTCACAGCTCTGCTCTCTGGCCTTGGTTTGCTCATCAGTAAAATGTGAGTACTGAATTACCAGATCTTTTCTCTTAAAATCTATACTCTCTTCTTAGGATTTTTAAGCTCCTGGCAGGCAGAGGGTACTGCAAAAATATTTTCCCATAACTGACAGGTACTTTGCTGTTCTTTCCCCAGCATGTCAGCTGCCTCCAGAAATCCCACACGGGAAGCACACTCCAAACAACAAGGATGACTTTTCCCCTGGGCAGGAAGTGTTCTACAGCTGTGAGCCCGGCTATGATCTCAGAGGGGCTGCTTCTCTGCGCTGTACGCCCCAAGGAGACTGGAGCCCAGAAGCCCCAAGATGTGCAGGTGGCTACACTCTCATCTGGTTTGCAGATCAACAATCTCTTTCTCCCTCAGATGGCAGTCTTAGTCCTGTTTTTTCCTCCTAGTGAAATCATGTGCTGACTTCCTGGACCAACTCCCTAATGGTCGGGTGCTCTTTCCACTAAATTTCCAGCTTGGGGCAGAAGTGTCCTTCATTTGTGATGAGGGGTGAGTGTATTCTGCAATAGAACCAGGGACTCATTGCTGGATAGTCACTCTCTTGGGTTCAGGGGTTAATCCAAAAAGTGGGGCTGACCAATGGAAAAGAAGTGCCCAGGGAGGTTAACTTCTGGTAGTTTTGAAATAAGTGTAGGGTACCACTCAGTGGCACCACTATTAGGAAATAAAGAAAATGGCATAATAATTCAATGTCAAGTATAAACATAAATACAGATGCTGACCTTGAATTCATAGTTGGAACTGGAAGTAAGTGGGTAAATAGTTGTTTGGGGTCAGGAAAATATAATTTTATGGAAGTATGCTAGTAAAAAGTTTGACGTATAAGACAAAAATTATTTGCATTGTGATAAAAGTCAGCCAAGGGTTGTTTCAGGAAACTTAAAACCAATCAACAGTGGAATTTGTAACAGTGTATGGATAAGTTTTTTTAATCTAATCATATGTCTTCGCACCAGTAATGTCCTTGGCACTGAGATCTAATGGCGGATGTTATTGTTTTAGGTAGTCTTATTAGACATTAATGCAGATCTCGTACTTTCAGTGGTTTGCACTATCTGTCCGTGGGAGGTACCAAGATTGGGAAATACAGCAGTTATTTTTAACACTTTCTAAGGAATCTTTGACATTTACAAAGCCTACCACCCAACAGGGATCAGCAGATTTCAGAGGGACAACTGGAGGCATTAATATGCTGGGCCTTTCAGGGTGGCAAACACTCCTCCCCTCATCCCTCTTATTTTCCTAGAACATTTGGCCCATATGATCCCATGAGCCTCTTTCTGGCCCTTACAAATGTCGTGGCAAAAGAACACTGTCGTTCTCTTTCAAGATGTTCTCTGCTTTTCTCACCCAGATGGAGAGCTGTTCTTCCTCATAACCCACTAATTAGAATAAGTGGGATGTCAGAGGGCTGTCAGTGCGAGATGGCTGTGGGTCTAGAGCACAGGAAGGAGTGCAGCCTGTGTTCAGTGACTTCTGTAGGTGACACTGGGCTATGATGTCTGTATAACTATTAGATGTACAAGTTCTGATTGCTTTGTGTGTCACAGGATATTGTGATTCTTTAGAATAATATGGCTTCTGAGTTTCTGCCAGCTACTGAATTCAGGTCCCTAATGAACTGAGACTTTCAGCTGGGCCTGAACCTACACGGCAAATGGTATTTATGCTGAATTGAGAAAGCTGAGTATGTCAGCGACGAGATGAAGGGAGAGATGGAAATTGCTCACATGTTAGTACTCCTTATTTTTCTTTAGGTTCCGATTAAAAGGCAGCTCCACTAGTCGTTGTGTCTTGGTTGGAATGAAAAGCCTTTGGAGCAGCAGTGTTCCTGTGTGTGAGCGTGAGTAGAAGGAACAACTATGCAGCCTGGATATCCCCCTTATTTTTTGTTCCAGCGTGTTTTGCCTCGTGGAATCACCTGTTGTCTGGATCTTTATTTAACTACTGATAAGATCCTTCTTTGTTAGAAGAATTTCAAAGGGGCCTTGTAGGTCTTATACATCGTGTGTTTATGTTACTAATCCGTAAATCACTAATTTAATGTCAGTGTTGAATTTTGTGGGGAATATGTGGGGAGAAACTAGATGACATAAAGTTACACCAAAACTTATTTATTCATTTATTTTTAGTTTCACCATCAAGGAGTGACCTCTCTTAAATGTTTATGTCCTTTTATCCCCCTACATCTCTAAACTATTTATTCAGCCTGTTATTTAGTCCATAGTATTTACCGAGGAAGGGCTTCCCATGGGCCAGGACTTTCCATGTGGGGAGAGGACTGAACAGGAAGGTCTTATCCCTGCTCTCATGGAGTTCATTTTCTACTTGGGAGGCAATGATGAACAAGAAAGTAAATAGGTAAACAAACAAAAAATAGAATATATAAAAAGGTATGTTAAAAAGTGATGTGTTATAGAGAAAATAAAACAGAGTTATGTGATAAGTTAGTATGCTGCAGGGAAGTGAGTCAATATTTGAATTGATGAGCTGAGGTGCCCTAAATTTCAAAACCACCCACTTAAATAAACATACCAAAGATTCAGAAATTGATAAATAGATCAAAGTGTTTCATATATACCACAAGACATTACTGATTTATCCTACTCTGTTTACTAAAGTAAGGCAAGACTTTTTTAAATCTCTTTTTCCTAATGGTCAAAAATTGTTCACTGTAATTTGGATTTTGTTAAAACACCTTGCTAGAAATCTATCTGGACACCTTATGGGATTATGGTGGAACTTTATAAGAACATTCAGTATGTGTAAATCTCAGACATCCAACAAACAGCCATCCTGAGACACACACAGCTGAAAATAAGTAAACTTTGGATAAACACAAACACAGATAAAATCCAGCATGGGAAGTCAATCATTGTTTTATGCACTAAGGCCTTCACTTTGTTTATTCACACAGTTCTGACAAGCTTGAGATCTCTTCCTAAATCCATATCAGATTAGAAGCACCAAATTAGTCTTAGGGAGAGAATACTAGAAGCAGATATACTAAAAGCAGAAAGAAATGATACCTGATAGCTTTGAAGAAAGAACTCCCCCCGCCCCCAAAACCAAAAGACTCCCTGGAGCCAGTTAATCTGGCTATAAAGAGCCCTATAGGAATCAATGTATTCTGACGACACTATTGTATATTTGGTATTGGTACTGATGACAATGGTCTTGAGTCATCAAGAAACATTTACATCTGCTGAAAATGATAATCTATGTTTAATAAACTTTACAAAGATTTCCCTGGAACCTCAGATCTTTGTCTTGTACTCCATTGTCAACCCAGGACTCTTACGATGCCTCACATAAAGTAGGCTATCATATGTTGCTGAAAAAAACAACTTAATCACCTTCCAAATGGATTAAACACTTAGTTACCAAGGGATTTTGGAATTTGACAATAAATTGTAATTTAAGTCTCACTTCAGTTAGTTCCTTCTCAGAAAAACCCATACTTATTTAAATTGCATCCACCTTAGTTGTGTTCTCATAGAAAAAAAATTTATTCATAACACAGTCCCAGGGCACTATTATTGTATAATCATTTTGATTGAAATTCTAATGGAACCTAAAGCCCTTGTGTTCCTTCTAGAAATCTTTTGTCCAAATCCTCCGGCTATCCTTAACGGGCGCCACACAGGAACTTCTCTGGGAGACATTCCCTATGGAAAAGAAATTACTTACACATGTGACCCGCACCCAGTCAGAGGGATGACCTTCAACCTCGTCGGGGAGAGCACCATCCGCTGCACAAGTGACAGTCAAGGGAATGGGTTCTGGAGCAGCCCTGCCCCTCGCTGTGAACCTTCTGGTTCTGCTGGTCAGTGCACATTTCCCCACGCTCCTGATGGATCAGAATATCTAGGCGAGAACCTCCATATTTATATAGTGACAGTCATTTATATTTCTGAACGTGGCTTTGTTGTGAATGTCAGACAGAGAATTACCTGCCGAGTGAGTAACAGATGGGTTCTAGATGAGCCACTTTATGTCCCAATTGGTGGTTATTCTGATGACCCTGCTGGAGTGAGGACTGTGGGATGGTGAGGAGAGGAAGACTGGAGAGCAGAGAGAATCAGTGAGGTCTGGATCTTACAGAGAATATTTCCAAAGCACTGAAAACAAATGCCAGAGAAAATACTCTGTTATGCCATCTATACCAATTTTCATACTAGATAGATGGGTGTGAAGAGCAAAACATACATGTTGATGGCAGTAATTTACTTCGGAATTGATAATGCTATAGAAATAGTTAAAGAAACTCTGATGTATGCATTTACACTCCTTTTGTTACTTCTAAGTGTTCTGCTCACCCAGTGACTCTATTTTGTTGAATTTTCATCTCATCTTTTGCAAAGGGAACTCCGGATGCCCTGGAGAAGTGGAGTTCAAGGCTGTGTTCTTGGTCTCTGTAGCTCATTCCTCTTCTGTATTAGTCTGGCTTTAAATGACAGTACCTGACAATTGTAGGCTCATTATGACCGTGATTGTCCACATGAGCTCCATCCTCCACTGAGGACAGACAACATTGAATTGGTAGTTTGTAGATCCCCATGGCACCTCCATCTGGTACAAGTTACAGGTAGAGAATATGGATGATCCTGTTTCAAGGCTGAGAGGTCTGGGTTAAGAGAATCAGTCTTCCCACTGATCAGCAAACATTTAGTGCCTTGGGAACTTGCCTGCCTTGGGTCTTCCTGTGGCTCTAATAGCCAGAGAAATTAATAGATGTCTTGGCATGTTTATACTTCTTTAATTGAATGTCTTTTCTTGTGTTTTGGGGGGAACTTGCTTTTAGCATGCCCACATCCACCCAAGATCCACAATGGGCATAAGATTGGAGGACGTGCATCTCCGTATCTTCCTGGGATGACTGTCACCTACACTTGTGACCCAGGCTACCTGTTGGTGGGAAACGCCTTCATTTTCTGTACACACCTGGGAACCTGGAGCCAGTCTGATCATTATTGCAAAGGTATTTCTTATTCTTGCTTGGTTTTTATGGAAAATTGATGCCTGAGGCTAATAAGTCTGAGAGATCATTTCTAAGAGATCATGAAATGAGTATCAACAGAGGACGAGAAAAGCAGAACAAAAGGTAGGAAGGATCTCAACTCTACTGAATAAGTAGGAAGAACTGATTGAATTTCCAGTAATACAACAGACATCAAACACCAGTTTAAAATGATTCACAAGCTTTTAACTAATAAAATATTTCAGCTCTAAAGTTCCTCAGAGGGTCACAGGTGGTCCTCACAAATACCCTTAGAAGGTAAATAAGAGACTAGAAATACACTTTGTGAGGAAAATTGAAGCCTGAAGCAAGGTTGAGAGCAATTAATTCCTCGAATTATTGGATATGGAGCCACATTATAATCTCCAAGCCCAAAAGTGATGTGTTTATTTCATCTCTTCCCTGGAACAAGTCCCCAGGAATTATTTCCTTTATTCTTATGTTTGCAAAAATGGCTTCTGACTTAAAAATCTTTGTTGGCATTATTCCAAAAAGGTACAAAATGTGGATAATAAATAATATGACTAGGCATGGTACTGAGGTCTTTACAAAAGTCATTTGTGTTTCTCCAAATGAATCTGATGAGGTGGGATTATTATTCTTGCCATCTTCCAGTAGAGGACACTAAAGTTTAGAAAGATCCAGTAACTAGTTCATGGTCCACAGCTTATAAGTGGTGGTGGCCAGGATTGCAGCCCTGCTCAGCCTCTGCTTTTGAACATTGCACTGTATACTGTCTCCTTTTAAATGTGGTTCTTTGACTTTGCAAAACTACAATTTTAGTGATTTTGCTTTGTTTGTTTCTTCTTTTCTTTCTTTTTAGAAATACTAGGCTTAGGGCAGGGAGGAAGGAGGAGACATTTCAGACACGCCTGTGTTTCTACTATTAAGGAGCAGTTAGTCCTGTGGTTGCTGTGATTATAGGGTCATAGGGCCATCCACAACCTAAATGTCTCAGAAATCCTTCTTGTCCTCCCAGCTCTCTGACTTTAGAAATAAAGAAATTGAGGGCCACCACAGAGATGGTAAGTGACTCTCCTATATTTATTTGCAAAGATGGACTTCACAAACTACAGAGTCCCTGTGGCTCTGCAGACAGCAGAAAGCTCACCCCTCCTTGCTTTAGTTACATTTAGAAGTATGAAGATTCAGGGAATAGTTCAAAGATCAATTATAGAAATTAAGACTTTGGGGAAGTTATTCTCCTGAAGATAAAGTGTAATATTCTCATCTCTTGGCAGCTGCTTTCCTTTTATTTAAGTAAAATTCTTTTTGTCTTAATAACTGCCCTCCTCAAACATGCTTTATTGCAGTCATTCTCTGTCTGAGTATTAGCGAAATCAGTCAGGAATCTTGTTAAAAGGAAGATTCTTAAGCTCTATTCCCAAAAACTCTGATTCTGACATTTTGAGATGGGGTCCAGAGGTCTATTTTTAACAAACCCATCAGAATATGCTGATGTAGAAAGACCATAGACCTTACTTTGGGAAATAGCACTTCGCCTTGTTGTTTCTTATAAAGAAAAAAAGAATTTAGGCTAATTTTGAGACTACCACAACTAAGAAGCAGGCTTTGCTAGAATTGAAGAAGGTATCCATGACTGGACAGAGAAAGAAAGCAAAAGAAAGAATGAGCTAAAAGAGATAAAATATAGTAGAAAAATGATATTTTAAATTCAGAATCATGATTTACTAACTTCTTTGTTCTATGTATAGAAATGAGCCAGAAACATGCATTTAATCAAGAGGCAAAATACTAGTATTTGTTATACGCCCAGAGAGAGTTAATGTGATATTCTTGTTTCCTTATGGTGTGACCCAAGTGGATCCAGGGCTGGAACTTGATTATCCTAACTCCTAAACTTTCCACAACTTTCCAGTTGCAGAGTTATCAATAATTAAAAGTGGATGTGTAGTACATTTTATATTCCCTTACTTTACCTAGGAAATGAAAGTCAGATAATTTAAATCATAGGGTGTGTGTGTGGGGGGGGGGGGGTGTCAGTAATTCTTGCTTGAAAACATGACCTTTCTTTGCTGAAGGCAAAGTAGGTTTAGGGTTATAGATGTTTCCATTACAGCAGTTTCAACTAACAATTAACAATAAAATATCAATTTCCTTCTGATTTTTCTAATTTCAGAGGTAAAATGTAGCCTCCCACAGTTTATGAATGGAATCCAGAAGGAGATGAAAATTAAAAATATCTATCACTATGGAGATAATGTAACTTTGGAGTGTGAAGATGGATATAGTCTGAAAGGCAGTCCCCAGAGCCAGTGCCAGGCAGATAACACATGGGACCCTCCTCTGGCCATATGTACATCTCGTAAGTGCAAGTGCAATAATGTATGTCCTTCCCAGTTGTAGTTACTGTTGATTCATTCATCCATACTGTCATCTAATGTAGTGTGATGTTTATGGCATGTGCTAAGAACTAAGGAGTGGAATAGGAGCTCCTAATTCTTCCCCAAAAGCCCTTAGCAATGAAAGTGAGGCCAGCCTTGCTCTCCTTACACTTCTCAATCCACCCACCTTTCCTCAAGGCCCTTTCTGAACCTTTTTTATCTACTCTATTGTTGCTTGAACCACACAATAATGATTTGTTTATAGTCTGTGGGCCTTAAAATTCAGGAGCACATCAGTAGTAGAGCAGGCCTTCAAGAATGTTTTCAGCATCAGTCAGGGAGCACCGTTCAAGTTGCAGAGACCAGATGAACGGTCTCGCTCACCAGTGTAGGCTATAGGATTTTAAGCTGGTACAGCTGAATACAACAGATTTAGAAATCATGTTTCACTGAGCTCACAGAAAAGCCCTCTGCTGACAAGTAGAGTGCGATGTAAGATAGAACTTGTACACATCAAGGACCTGATGAGCAAAATTAACAATGAATAACCTTTCTTAATCTAAGTTAGTGCTAGCCTATCCCCTCCAGTTCTTATGACTCTTATTTATGACACATGGTTGAACACCAAGATTATTCAAGATCTGTTTTTTTCTTTTACAGTTAGTCTCTTAAACACGTTAACTAATCTGACATGTTATTTTAAAATTATAAATTGACACTCAATTAATATCAAATTATATTCACTCCTTTGACAAAAAGCTCACTGCCTGACTGACTGAATGCCTTTAGAGTATTCTGAAGATGTGGCTGTGAGAGACAGAATATTCACATAATTGGGGGACCAACCCTATCAGATCTTAAAACAAAATATAAAGCCACAATACATAAGTCACTCTATACTAGCACAAAAATAGGCTTATAAAATAAGTGGAGCAAAACAGATATTAACAAAATAAAGGTTATTATAAATAAAAATAAAAGTATCTTACAGATAAAATATGACTGAGACATCAATCCCTGGGGAATAAAAAGATTCAAATAATATAGGTAGCATTGGAAAAAATTTAGAACTTTTTATCCTACAATAAATACCAGATATAATAAGGAGTTAAAAGTTTTAAAAGTTAACATAGAAAAACTAAAGTAAAAAAAAGAATATTTATCAAACAGCTAGAAGAAGGCCAACTTTTTTAACTTTATGATAGAGAAAATCATAAAAGGTCAAGAAATATGACTCAGGACTTATTTTGAAAAGCAAATAAGGCAGGAGACAGATGAAAAATATGTGAAAAATATAATGAGGAGTTAGTGCTATCGTACAAATAGCAGTAGCATTGTTGTGGCAGTAATAGTTATAAAAGTTAACAGATGTTGAGCACTTAATACCACTGTTCAAAGATTAGATAGATATAGATTCTATAACTATGTAAAAACCTAGATGCATAGGAAAATGGACCAGAAAGGAATGTACCAAAACACTTCAGGGTAGTAGGATTATGGGTGATATTTTTCTTTTGTCCTGTTTTATAAACTTTCTGCTGGAATTATATTACTTTTATGATAAAATATTAAGTTAAAAAGAAAAATAATACTTTGCTGAGTGCACAAGATGAAATGAGTTTGTGTGAGTACAATCAGTGGCTTTTTATAACAGAAAATACTGTGTACTGAAAACATCAGGATGAACCGTCACCAGCTGAGGGCTCCTGTGTGATCACGCTGTGCGCTCAACTGATGTGTTGTGGCTTTTGTCTTC